TTTCTAAATTGTACACCAAACCATTTTGATGAATTTTCTACTGATTTCAATATTTTAGATTCAATGCTTAAACTCAGTACTCTGTTATATTTCTTGACAAAGCACATAATCAACTTATTATGTACATTTTGCAGATGTCGTCAGTAGGGATCTTTGATAGGGTGTAAGTCTCATGATTTCATGCAATTTGATATTACATATCATTTCAGCAACTTGACATATGTATGTTACAAACCTTTATATATGCAGGTTTAATGTTGAAGTATCAGACGACGTGAATAATCATCACCAACAAGATGCAAATACCCTAGCCAATACTTACTGTGTCCAATGTGGAAGGATGCTTGGGTGGAAATTCGTAAGATACTAATATTAAAGAGCAATTTGTTTTCATGAACATGAAGATTTTGTTGCTTTTTTTTTTTTCTGAATACTGAAGTTTTTATTTCTCCAGATTGAAGTCATCCAACAGAGCTTGTATGTTAAGGAAGGAACATTCCGTTTGAGATTGTAAGTTTCTAATAACAATTTGCAAATTGAAAGTATACACATAAGCGGTATGACTTGTAAGGGTTGATACAAATGAGTCTATTGTGGCAGTGACATGCTTAGTTTTGAAGAGCAAAATGTTGATCAAGATGTAGGCGGTAATCAACAGGTTCCTATTGAACAGGAATATCAAGATGGAGACGGTGATCAACAGGTTCCTCATGAACAAGATTTAGGCGCTAATGAGCAAAATGCTGATCAAGATAGAGGTGGTCATCAACAGGTTCCTAATGAACGAGATTTAGGCACTAATGAGCAAAATGTTGATCAAGATGGAGGCAGCGATCCACAGATTCCTAATGAACAAGATTATCAAGATAGAGGTGGTGATCAACAGGTTCCTATTGAGCAAGATTTAGGTGCTAATGAGCAAAGTGTTGATCAAGATGGAGGCGGTGATCAAGAGGTTCCTAATGAACAAGATTTAGGCGATAATGAGCAAAATGATGATCAAGATGGAGGCGGTGATGAACAGAATCATGATCCAGATAGAAGGGATAATCAACAGGCTCCTAATGAACACGATTTAGGCGCTAATGAGCAAAATGATGATCAAGATGGAGGCGGTAATGAACAGGGTCCTAATGATCAAGATGGAGGCCGGCCAATGAAACAGAGGAAGATAAGATCAACTGGCTGATGGAATAGATAATATTGATGAAAATGCAGAGATTGATAGGCTACTCATTCTGATATTGTGCTTATACATTGCTATAATTCATAATTGTGTGATATTCTGTTTTTCATTTCTGTTTTGAGATTACACTACATATTGTATTACTTCAGGTTGGAATAAACCAATTGACACTGCACATTTTACATGTTTGATATTAACTGTTCTGTATATGGTGCTTAGTTTGTTTTAATCTGTTGAAACAAATTAAAAACGCAGGTAATATTGACAATATTGATGAAAACGCAGACATTGATAGCCTACTCATTCTGATATTCTGCTTATACAAAATGCTATAATTCATAATTGTGTGATATTCTGTTTTTCATTTCTGTTTTGAGATTACACTACATATTGTATTACTTCAGGTTGGAATAACCAATTGACACTGAACTTTTTACATGTATGTCCTTCCCGTAAACATTCCGCAAATTTAAAATTAATTTCACGAATTAATTAATTAATAATCCGTGAATTAATTAATTAATAAATAATTTTGTGAATTAATATTTTAAAAAAATGATTAATTAGAATGATGAAGTCATTTCAAAATTTATTAAATAAATTTATCCCTACTAAGGTTAGAAATTTTTCAGAGCGATTTGAAACAGAGCTGAAGAAGCCATTTCAAAACAGAGCTCTTCTCAACTACAATCAGAATCAAGAATTAATATAATTTCAGTTTTGAGCAATTCTCCTCTTTGGTGGGTAGTTTGTCTTTTCTTTCCAGCTTTTATATTTCTCTTACACTTTCTTCTTTATTCTTTATTAGGTGAATCATGTCTATTAGGATTTGGTTCTTGATTCAACAATTTGTGATGAGACAGAATTTTCCTGAATACAATCATATCCATTTTGTTCATTACCTCCACTGTCGTAGTTGCACAACTCGAGTTGCAATCATCCAGGATTACTTTCCGAATCTAGAGATTCTTGCTAGAGTGCCTGCAGGGTTGTTTACTACAGTGTAAGTATCATGCAATTTCAACATCTTGTGATTTTATTTATCGTCTAATAAGGCACATATGCAGGTTTAGTGTTCAAGTAGCAGAGGACTATCGAGTAATAGATGGCATGACTGTAGCCGATACTTACTGTGTCCAATGTAGAAACCTGCTCGGGTGGAAAATTGTAAGATACTAGTAATATTAAAGATCATTTGAGTTTCATGATAACAAGACGATTTTGTTGCTCTTTTTTTTCCCTCTTAAATTACCGAATTTATGATTTCTCCAGATTACAGTCCCCCAACTGTCTAGTAGTCATACAGTAGGAAGATTCGTCATGATATTGTAAGTTTCTAATTATGAATTTGCAGATTGAGACTCTTTGTACACGGATATATGTGGTATGACTTGTAAGGTGTTAATTCAAATGAGTATTTTACGGCAAGAACAGGCTTGTTTTCTGGAACAATGTAACGTTGCTTGATTTACTCCTTGAAGGCAATAATGAACAGGCTCCTAATGATCAAGATGGAGGTGCAGATGAAGAACAGGATCATGATCAAAATGGAGGCGCTAATGAGCAGGTTCCTAATGAGCAAGATTTAGGCTCTAATGAGCAAAATGCTGATCAAAATGGAGATGCTAATGAACAAGATTTAGGCGCTAATGAGCAAAATGTTGATCAAGATGGAGACGCTAACGAACAAGATTTAGGGTCTAATGAGCAAAATGCTGATCTGGATGGAAATGGAGGCATTAATGACCAAGTTCCTAATCAAGACGTAGATATCGTTGAGGGACTGGGCAATATTGATCTAAATGCAAACATTTGAATCAACTATTGATGGAAATGCAGACATCCATAGTGCAGAACCAGCTTATTACAATAGAGTTCATATGATACGAGTATTAATTCATAACTGTGTGATATTCTGCTTTCATTTTTTGGTTTTTGGATTACACTACTATTGATTTTGGAGAAAAGCAATTGACATTTGACATGTTTGAGCTCGAGTACTTCCCTTCTCTATATGCTGCTAATTATAAGTTTATCTTTTAATTTCTTGTAATCTACTGGTTAAAAGTCACTGCACTTGCTGTACAATTGTCTTTGTTTCAACAAGCGTAGTTGCTTATTTCCATAGATTTTGCTTAATAGTAATTGCTATATCTAACTAAAGTGACAGTGCATATTTCCTTTGCTTAATAGTTAATGTTAAGTTGCAGCTTCTGTCTTGTTTGGCTAAGAAATTATCCTCAAACTTTAACTACTCTTTGTGTTAGACTTGTCCAACTGAAGGCGCTAATTACAGACTCTGGAAATGTCTCCAAATGAACTCAAGAGGGATGATTATGTAATGTTGCTGTATATCCAAGTACAGTTTGGCACAAAAACGAAAACTTAAGGTCTCTGGTTCGAGTTCGGGCGAAACCATTTTCCTTAACTATGTTTTTTTTTAGGGAAAAAGATCTGAAAAATACTCCAACTTTGGCCGAAATTGCTGTTACGATACCAAATTTTCTGGAGGACCTTTTACCCTGCACTATTTAATAGTGTATTTTAAAGGTATATATGTGTCTACGTGGATATCATAAATATTGCATCATTTTAAATAGTAATGTGTCCACGTGGGCACATATATACCTTTAAAATACACTATTAAATAGTGCAGGGTAAAAGGTCCTCCAGAAAATTTGGTATCGTAACAGCAATTTCGGCCAAAGTTGGAGTATTTTTCAGATCTTTTTCCCTAAAAAAAAACATAGTTAAGGAAAATGGTTTCGCCCGAACTCGAACCAGAGACCTTCAGTGTGTTAGACTGACATGATTGATGGTAAGTGGTAACTGTGTTCAACTGAAATACCAGAGGAATAAACAAAAAAAGCTGGAAAACAGAAAATACTAAATTCACTATGAACCCTTAAGGAATTTATTCCCTTCCCGATTTCGTGGATTATTTCCTCATAGGATAAAACATATATAGTTAAAGAAGTAGCGGTATCTCAAACTTCAATAACTTTAGCAAACTCAAAAATCAACACCGAAATCACACAAGACCCAACTTTGTTTGTAAGAACATGTATGCAAAAGAAAAAGAAAATTTGAAGTTAAATAGCTAGATAACCCTTTCTATTTATAGTCAATGATATGGATTAAATAGGTGTGAATTCACATGTTCAAAACAAGGAACATGTAACGGCCCAACCTACTAGTGATATTGTCCGCTCTGGGCCTAGGCCCCGCACGACTTTAAAACGCGTCACTAGTTGGTAATGTCTGCTTACTGATATACCCAATATCTCTCCCGTATTTTGCCGATGTGAGACTTCTAATTTTAAGCTGAGAGTGTCACAGAAAACATGTCCTTTCCATAAATTTTCTGCAAATTTTAAATTAATTTCGCGAGTTAATTAATTAATAATTTTATGAATTAATATTAAGAAAAAAATTAATTAATGAGAAAGATGAATAAATTTTGTCTAAAAAATTATCAACCAATCATTTGAATGGGTGAGGGAGCTCTCTCTTTTAAAAGCTAATGGAAGTATTTCTTAATATAATGACAATATTTATCCTCTATTGAATCAATGAAGGAGAAAATAGTTTTGGAGGGTAAAAAAATTATAATTTCGTAAAAGGGAAAAATAAAATAAAATTTATCCCTGGTAAACGGTTAAAAAAATTTCAGAGCGATTTCAAAACAGAGCTCTTCTCAAATAGTATTCAAGAATCAAGAATAAATATAATTTCAGTTTTAGGCATTTCTCCTCTGATATAATTTTCACCCATTTTCTTTTTCTTGAATTCTCATTGATCATCAACTCTTTTCTCCCTAGTAAAAGGTTAGAAAATTTTCAGAGCGATTTGAAAACAGAGCTGAAGAAGCCATTTCAAAACAGAGCTCTTCTCAACTACAATCAGAATCAAGAATTAATATAATTTCAGTTTTGAGCAATCCTCCTCTGTTTTAATTTTCATCCATTTTTCGTTTTCTTGGATTCTCGTTGATCACCAACTCCATCTTTGGTGAGTAGTTTGTCTTTTCTTTCCATTGATATTTCCAGCTTTTATATTTCTCTAACACTTTCTTCTTCATTCTCTAATAGGTCAAACATGGCTATTAGGATGGGACAGAATTTGCCTGAATACAATCATATCCCTTCTGTTCATTACTTCTACTGTTGTGGTTGCGGAGCTCATGTTGCAATCATCTATTACATTCCGGCTCTACGGATTATTGCTCAAGTGTATATATGCAGGTTTAGGGTTGAAGTAGAAGAGAACGAGCCACAACATGGAGTAATACATGGCATGAACTTGACCGTAGCCGTGACTTACTGTGTCCAATGTGGAAACCTTCTCATGTGGAAAATTGTAAGATACTAGTAATATTAAAGATCATTTGAGTTTCATGATAACAAGAAGGATTTGTTGCTCTTTTTATTCCCTCTTAAATTACTGAACTTATGATTTCTCCAGATTGCTGTCTCCCAACCGTCTAGTGTTTATAGAGTAGGAGGATCCATCTTGAGATTGTAAGTTTCTAATTATGAAATTGCAGATTGAGACGTCTGTACATGTATATCTATGGTATGACTTGTAAGGTGTTAATTCAAATGAGTATTTTGTGGCAGGGACGCGGTTATTAGCTGGAACAATGTAACGTTGTTTGATTTTCTCAATGGAGGCAATAATGAACAGGCTCCTAATGATCAAGATGGAGGTGCAGATGAAGAACAAGATGGAAACGCTAATGAACAAGATTCAAGCGCTAATGAGCAAAATGTTGATCAAGATGGAAACGCTAATGAACAAGATTTAGGGTCTAATGAGCAAAATGCTGATCTGGATGGAAATGGAGGCATTAATGAACAAGTTCTTAATCAAGATGTAGCTATCGTTGAGGGGCTGGGCAATATTGATCTAAATGCAAGCACTTGAATCAACTATTGATGAAAATGCAGATAGGGCACTCATGATGCAGAACCAGCTTATTACAATAGCGTTCATATTGTACGAGTATTAATTCATAACTGTGTGATATTCTGCTTTCTTGTTTTGGTTTTTGGATTTCACTACATATTGATTTTGGAGAAAAGCAATTGACATGTTTGAGATCGAGTACTTCCCTTCTCTATATGCTGCTAATTAGTTTGTCTTTTGACTACAATCTACTGCTTAAAAGTCACTGCAACTGCTGTGCAATTGTCTTTGTTTCAACAAGTGTAGTTGCTTCACTAGTATGGGAAATTTAAAAATGCTTGATTTTGAAAAATAGGCATAAATCCCTTATAGTTGAGTAGGATTTTATTTGTTTCAATCGAGGATACAATGTATATAGAACAAATCACACATAATTTTGACCTTATGTATCTTGAGATACATGTATTTTGACGTATTTGGATACACTAAAATCTGTTAAGATTTGTAATATTGCAAACTAGCGTGTGTATCTGAATAATTAGGTCCTAAACTAGTGGAATTTTGTAAGTTACCCTATTTGTCAGAGTGTTTAGTGTATTTCAATAAGATTGTGGTCCAAAGAATATTAGAGCGTACTGTGTCTTATTTCTAAAAGTTTCCAAATAATAAAATTTTGCACAAATATTAGTTTTTTTTTTCTTTCTAGTATTTGAGAATTTGATTTTTTTTATTAAAAATATTTATCAATTAATGACAAGTATGTGACCAAACAGTATTTGTCAAGTTTTTTCTCAAACATTTTTGGGCGTCTGGCAATATCTATGGCCAAATAGATCCTAAGAAAAGAGAAAAACTCAAGTTTTGCACTGTCCCTGTTTGATGGATTGTCATTAATTTTTCACATACTGCTTATTTGATGAAATTTGTTGTCAAAAGTATTCATAACTATTGCTTAAAAATTATCCCCCTAGTAAAAGGTTAGAAAATTTCCAGAGCGATTTAAAAACAGAGCTGGTGAAGTCATTTCAAAACAGAGCTCTTCTCAACTAGAATTCAAGAATCAAGAATTAATATAATTTCAGTTTTGGGCACTTCTCCTCTGTTATAATTTTCACCCATTTTTTCGTTTTCTTGGATTCTCGTTGATCACCAACTCCATCTTTGGTGTGTAGTTTGTCTTTTCTTTTCATTGATTTTTCCAGCTTTTATATTTCTCTTACACTTTGTTCTTTATTCTGTAATAGGTCAAACATGTCTATTAGGATTTGGTTCTTGACTCAACAATTTGTGATGAGACAGAATTTATCTGAATACAATCATATCCCTTTTGTTCATTACCTCCACTGTCGTCGTTGCAGAACTCGAGTTGCAACCATCCAGGATTACTTTCCGGCTCTACAGATTCTTGGTAGTGTGCCTGCAGGGTTGTTTACTACAGTGTAAGTATCATGCAATTTTAACATCTTGTGATTTTATTTATCGTCTAATAAGGCATATATGCAGGTTTAGTGTTGAAGTAGCAGAGGACGAGCAATATCATCGAGGAATAGATGACATGACCCTAGCCGAGACTTACTGTGTCCAATGTAGAAACCTGCTCGGGTGGAAAATTGTAAGATACTAGTAATATTAAAGATCATTTGAGTTTCATGATAACAAGACGATTTTGTTGCTCTTTTTCTTTCCCTCTTAAATTACTGAATTTATGATTTCTCCAGATTGCAATCTCCCAACCGTCTAGGAGTCATATAGTAGGAGGATTCATCATGAGATTGTAAGTTTCTAATTACGAATTTGCAGATTGAAACCGTCTGTTCATGTACATAGATGGAATGACTTGTAAGGTGTTAATTCAAACTGAGTATTTTGTTGCAGGAACGAGATTATTTGCTGGAACAATGTACTGTTGTTGGATTTACTCTTTGGAGGCAATAATGAACAGGCTCCTAATGATCAAGATGGAGGTGCAGATGAAGAACAGGATCATGATCAAAATGGAGGCGCTAATGAACTGGTTCCTAATGAATAAGATTTAGGCTCTAATAAGCAAAATGTTGATCAAGATGGAGACGCTAATGAACAAGATTTAGGCACTAATGAGGAAAATGCTAATCAGGATGAAAATGGAGGCATTAATGGACAAGTTCCTAATCAAGATGTAGATATTGTTGAGGGAATGGGCAATATTGATCTAAATGCAAACATTTGAATCAACTATTGATGAAAAATGCATAGCCTACTTCCTTTTTTTTTTTTTTTTTTTTTTGGTTTATGGATTACAGTACATATTGATTTTGGAGAAAAACAATTGACATTTGACATGTTTGAGCTCGAGTGCTTCCCTTCTCTATAGAGTATATGTTTATCTTTTAATTTCTTGACTACAATCTTTTAATAGTCTTTGTTTCAACTAGTGTAGTTGCTTGACAGTGAAATCTAATTAAAATGCGAATGACTATTTGTTTCAATGGAGGGATATGGGTGGTAAGTTTGGTAAAGGCCTCTCTCTACACACTATAAAATATATATATATATAGGAACGTGCGTTGCACGTTTGTCCCCTATTACTATATAAAATTTGTAGCCAGTATAAAATCCTCAGTTGCAAATTTAAAATTATATATTCATCCACATGTACATATTTTTTCTCAGACTGTATACATACTTGTTAAAAGAGTAGATATTATGTCCCGATATCTTGAATTTGTAAACAAAGGATTCATTACTATAATCGAAATGCTAGATTCTCTAGTTACACAAGAAACAAAAAATTTAAGACTGTCAAGAAAAATGATAATAGAAAAAGGAAAATTTTAAGTCAAGATCTAATTTCATTGTATGTGTATAAATAAGAGAAAGTGTATTTAATTCAAGAAAGCACAGTTTTTTTCTTTGATTTGGAGAGGAAAACAGAAGATCCACCAATAAACACCATTCAATCACTATATATTTTCTTGGACAATTTCAATAGAAGCAAAGGAAATGTGCCAGTTTCCATCTGCTTGTTCCTGCTCTTTCAAACATAGGAATTTCATTCTTATAAATATTTGTCATCTACTCCAACCAGATTTTTCATTGTTGAGTTTTATGTGATTACCATTAGTCGACTCTCCAAGCTAAAGCCATTTCATTGACAAAAGGAGGCAGTCTGAGTGAAGCAACAAATATCAAAACCAAAATTTCCAACACATTACAAAACATGGCAGATTGGGAACATTCTAGCGTCTAAAAGTGACATCCATATGCAGTAAGACATTAAGAAATTATTTCACCAAGAGCACCATTTTCTAGATCCAAGAATAGCAATATGGACTTGATGTCCCTATAGTTTGGACATCAAAAAATCTGAACAAAAGGGATAGATCAAGTGGCTGATGGAATAGATAATATTGATGAAAATGCAGACATTGATAGCCTACTCATTCTGATATTCTACTTATACAAAATGCTATAATTCATAATTGTGTGATATTCTGTTTTGAGATTGCACTACATATGGTATTACTTCAGGTTGGAATAAACCAATTGATACTGAACTCTTTACATGTTTGAGCTCGGGTACTACTGTTCTCTATATGCTGCTTAGTTTGGTTTAAATTTCTCGATACAAGTCATCTGTCAAGCATTTTTGAGTATAATCAACTGGTTAAAACTTAAAAGTACTAATGGATTACTGATATTTCCTTAGACTTTGCTTGACAGTATTTGATTTAATGCAACAAACATCTGCATTAGTTAAGATCAAAACAGAGCTCATCTCAACTTGGATTCTGTTGAAACTTTCAAGAGAAAATAGCTGGAATAAGCAAGAGGAAAAAACGTTTTTAAGACATACTTGTCACTATACTAAAAAGTTCTTTAGTTTAGAAAATCAAGAGATAATTTATATTTAAATCAAGTGGCTGATGGAATAGATAAAATTAATGAAAATGCAGACATTGATAGCCTACTCATTCTGATATTCTGCTTATACAAAATGCTATAATTCATAATTGTGTGATATTCTGTTTTCCATTTCTGTTTTGAGATTGTACTACATATGGAATAACTTCAGGTTGGAATAAACCAATTTGAGAGTACCATTCTATATATGGTACTTAGTTTGTTTTTAATTTCTTGATACAAGTCATCTGTCGAGCATTTGAGTATAATCGACTGGTCAAAAGTTACTACTTGATTACTGATATTTCCTTAGATTTTGCTACTGAACTTTAGTTTGTGGATGACTAATTTTTGAAAGCCACACAGAAGTGTGAATGCCAGTGGTCATCTGCTTAAGTATATGCTAACTTAAGTGCCAGTGCTCATATGATACTAATTTGGATTTGTGCTTTCTGTTTAATATATTTGCAAATGTGTAACCTTCTGAATTCTGTACGATTCCTTTTGTCAAGAGGGATGATTATACGTGTGTTGAAAACGCCTAAAAGCTAATACAAATCTTGTAGTCCTGTTTGCATGAATGTGTAGTAGAGTTATGTCAAGTACTATAAATCATAATTAAAATGAAATGTAATGAGCAACAAATAATAAAAAGACAAAATTACAACCAAGATTGAGAAGAATTCTAATTTCTAAGCATCTCTTAATAGTAAGATAGTTTCCGTATGCATCTAGCAGTAATAGTTACGGATAATTTGAGAGACTTGTGACATTCTAGAAGCCTCTATCAACAAATGTAATAAGCTAACAGATGATAAATGGTATTTCTATTATACCAAAATTGAAAAATGTTTATGAAATCGTCACTATAACTATAAGCTTATTACACAATATGAAAATAATTCTCTCTTTAACTCTTACTGAAGCTGTGATACAACATTGGCTAAACTTGAATAGATTTTCTGTAAAAATCTGTAGCCTTTCAGATATCAACTTAATTATCCCGTTCTATCCCATGTTGTTTTGGCAATTTGAAAGCCTTCCAGGTTAAGCTAACTGATGCAATGATGAAAGATGGAAATAATTAGAAATAACTAAAAGAATTAACAATGCTATAACTAAAGAACTAAATAGGAGAAAAACTTAATTAAAGGAAATTGAATGGAGAAATGAAATGAGTAAAACAAGTCCGAAAGTCCATGTTAGATGAA